CCTCAGCCTGCTCGTCTGTATGCTCCCCTAGAGGTTTGAGCAGTGGGGCCCTGAAGAAGTGAGCACATGCCCTGCGAGGGGGACAAGGGAACCTTTCCTGTTTCAAAATGTCCCGTGGAGGGGTCAAAATCACCTACCCACGTCTACTAAAAACTGTCGTACACAGAAACATCGTGAAGAAATTGTGCATATTAAACAGCTCATAGAACACATTTTTTACATAATCAAATTTTGCTCCTACATATTTTAAATATATTTTATATAAATCTATATATATACATATTTTTCCATTACCAGGGACTAAAATACAAAGCCTTTTTTTGTGTGTGTGTGAGACAGGGTTTCACTCTTGTTGCCCTGGCTGGGGTGCAATGGCACGATCTCGGCTCACCGCAACCTCCGCCTCCCGGGTTCAAGCGATTCTCCTGCCTTAGCTTCCCGAGTAGCTAGAATTACAGGCATGCACCACCACACCTGACTAATTTGTGTATTATTAGTAGAGACGGGGTTTCACCATGTTGGCCAGGCTGGTCTCCTATCTCCCGACCTCAGATGATACAGCCACCCCACCTCCCAAAGTGCTGGGATTACAGGGGTGAGCCACCGTGCCCAGCCTAAAATACAGTGTTAAAGAGTGTTTTTAGTGAGCTATCTAAGCCATGATAACAGTGCCACATGACAAAATAACTGAGTAACTCCTCCCTTTTCTTAGTCCCAATCAATCAGTTGACATATGCTGTCAACTTTATCTTAAAAGTATTTCTGTTCATTTAACAGGGCCAACATATCCATCAGAAGGCACAGTGCTTGGGGCCCATGATACTTTTAGGAGCACACAAAAAGTGTCAATATTTTCTTTTAAAAATCAAAATAAAAAATGAAAAATAACTACTCCAGGTTAGAATATATTCATCTTTATACTGACATAGCTGCAAAATACAATTTTTAATTTTTTTAACCTAGGAAGGGGGGACCTATGAAGGGACCTATGTACCACTGGGGCTCACAAAAGTCACAACATGGCCCCACCATGGGAGGGGAAATAAGTAAACAAGCAAATATCAAGTGTGGCAAGTGCTATGCTATGAGAATAACAGAGCGTGACAGGAGGACAAAACAGATGCTCCCAGCACAATATGTCTGTGTGTACATGTGGCAGTGGTGGTGGAGTTCAGAAAAGGCTCCCAAAGTTAGCCTGGTTGTGAGACGGAAAAGAGAGGGTCAAGGACTCCTGGAGGAGAGGAGAGCATGTGCAAAGGCCCGGAGAGAGAGAGATCTCAGAGCTGATCTGGACCATGAAAGTTCAGTATAGCTGAAGGGGAGAGACTGAGTGGAGAAGGGAGCAACAAACACTACTGGATGGATGTGCTGCTGCCACATAAAGGGCCATGCAAGCCAAAGGAAGAGGCAGAGGCACTCCGAAGAGCAAAAGAACGCCGCAGAACAGCTTCGAGCTATGGAATGGCATTATCAGATTGGTATTTCAGAAAAGTCATTCTGGCTGCCTTGACAAGACAGTTAAGAGGGGCCCAAGAGGAGGCAGAGAGCAGCAACTGCAACTGGCTATTGCAGCAATCCAGAAGAAAGGCAAAGATGGCTTAGGCAAGAGTGGCCAATAAATCGAGATACTTGGGAGGTAAAACTGACAGGGTTTGGTCATTGGGTGTGGAGAATGAGAGACAGAGAAAAGTAAAAGAAAACCTGGCTGAGCCACTGTACGAGGAACAGCCAAAAAGACCAGGTTTAAGGGAAAGGATAAGATCTGCTGTGGGCATTCTGACTCTGAGTTGCTGTGGGCTATACAAGCCGTTTTGGATTTAAACCGTTAGATCCATAGATCTATGGAATGAGAATTGGGCTGAGAAAGACTACTCAAATTATCAACATATAATTCAGGACATTTAACTAGGTGTTAAGAGCCATAGATGAGTTTTAAAGGTCAGAAAACATCCAAGATTATAATAATGTTTGTGTCTAAGTTGGTAAGAATTCTTATGGTAACTGAGAGCCTCACATTTTCAAAGGAGTTCACGATCTCACAACAGATGAAGAACCAACTAACAAAGATGAAAAGAGGAGGAGACCAACCAGGGCTAGCACTGGAACCCTCAAGAACTCCAGCACTTAGGAACATCAGAGACTGGTGTTTGAAGAAGGGTGATGGAAAAAGGACCCAGCTGTATTCCATTATGAAAGGAACAGCAGGTGAAAAAAAGGGATAACCAAATGTAAACAGCAATGCAAGAGTCTGGCTGGGAAAAGGAGAAACAGAAATCAGATCTTACTCCAGCCTCATCTTTCAAAATTGAATCCATCTTTTAAGGTCCTGGTGAAACGGCTCTTGCCACCTTCATTAAGCCTTCACAGAGTACCTGAATTAACCTATCTTTGCTGGATTCTTCTACCAGAATGTCTCACACATCACTGATCATTATGTAATTTGTAGAACTAAGTGCAACCTGTGTCCCCTAGCAGCACACAGCTCTCAAAGGTGAAAACAGTGTTCGCTTGGTCCTCTTCTTTTGCATTCTTCACAGTGCCCTGTTCACGTGAGCATTCACTCTGACAGAAAGGATTTTATCTGGGAGGTGAGAGATGGGCCCCGACAGAACAATTGGTTAAGTCGTATGACTTTGGACTAATCAATTCATCTCCCTTAGGCTTATTTTCATTCCCCGTAAAAGGAGTGGGTTGGGTTCTTTTGGGTGGAGAAGGAGATATGTGTAATTAGCAAAAAGTTTCAATATAGCTATTGTTTTTGTAATGCAAATCACAGAAAATAAAACTGGATTAAAAGCCAAAGGACACTCAAACAATACATGAGAGAGGAGTGGGTTAGAAAAGGTTAAGAAATACTGGACAAGAGAATTTACAATTTTAGGCTCAAAATTCTACAATTATTTGATGGTGCTGTTTAACAGTATGTGCAAGGCACTGCACTATATATCTGAGACAGAGAACAAACGCCATCTCTGTCCTCTGGAAATTAATATCCTATTACAAACACCAAAGAATGATAAGTGAAGCCATAATTTTCACAAATTCCTGTGTTTACACCTTTTTCTCTGTATGCTGTGGGTCACTATGAAAATCAACTAGAAAAATATATTAGGCTTCCTTTTCCCATTTGAAACATTCAGCATTTATAAATTTGTCTCTCAACTATTTGACTGCTTAAAGGAATAGAAAGAAAAATAATACCGTTCAATAGCACCAGTTTAATTGTGTGCCTTTTTCTTTGGAGGTAAATGACCTACATACCCAGCAAAGATTACTCAGAAGGCTTTGGTTTTATGTAACAGCATCACTCGGAACAAAGTACCTTCCCAAATATTTTACATTCTTAGGAGTTCAATATTTCCTTTTACCTTTTCTCAACACTTCAAACATGTAAACCTGAAACTGTCAAGAACATGTAAAGTAAATACTCCTTCCTACAAACTGTGGGGTCAATTATAACTTTGCCAGAGGGTAGAGGGTTCAAAAAATACCCCCCTAGCTGAATGAGGTAATCGTTCCTCATCAAGCTCTACACAACAGCACTGGAATTCAAAACGCCGAAGGTAGCTTTTACCTAGTATCTCTCTTACAAAAGTCAAAGATTAAAGCACTTCTCTCTCAATAATCAAGGAGTCATCGTCCCTCCACCAGCACCTTAGTCTTGGCAACTTCAACTCTGGCCACAGCAGTGATGGGAATGTGCTAAGGACTGGAGCTGGGAAGGCACACAGGCAGGTAATTCTTTCATCAGGTAGTCATCTCAGGGAGGAGTTCTGCCAGTCAGAAAGTGGCCTAACCACATTTCCCAATACAGCAGTAACTAAAAGCTGCATTTCAGGAGAGAAAAACAATCTACATGCTGGGTGGAACATTATTATTTCTCTTCTTGATTACTACGTAAGACTGACACAAATTAACACTCTCTTTTTAGAGAAAAGGTGAAAGAATGTGTGTGTAAAGATTGGGACACAAATATTTTGTGATCTTGATATCTAGGCTTATATCACAGAGAAGTAGAAATGAATAGGAAAAGAGAAGGTAGGGAACTATGGCACAGAGTGCTTTTACCTTCCTCTTATATAAAAAAGTTAGCAAATAAAATGTTACAGCAACTGGCTGGCTAATGCATTAAATACAACAATAAAAACTACAACAATGAGGCAGAAGATCACTTGGGGCCAGGAGTTCGAGACCAGCCTGGGGAATGTAGAGAGACCCTCTCTCTATTTCCTATTTAAAACAAACACTACAACAAAATGAGTTGAGTTCTTCCCATGTTTATGTCCAGGACTTCATTTCACAAAAGCAAATATGAAACTTGCTTAACTTAAATTGCATTTACCTGCTTATTTCACATTTAAATAGCTAAATATCTCTAGTCAATAATGATAAATAACCAAGCAACATAAAAGTAAGTTATAAAACCTTGGTATTATTTGACATTTTGCCCCTCTTCTGATAGGAGGCTGGCCTCCTCTCACTTTTCTCTTGAAATGTGAAATGGAATTTTGATGCTTTCCCCTACGTGCAGTATTCTTAAGTATGTATAAAACTGTTTTCGAAATAAATTTAAGCTACATGAGTCAAACCAAAAGAAAATAAATAAAAAAGGAAAAGGAAAAACAATCAACAGGATAGTTAAAGCAAAGTTTAATATTTGTCTTCCTAAAAAAAGAAAGGCTTAATATTTTTTACATTGAAATGTTTGGACTCTTGGTATATTGTTTTTAATTCATGGGACAATGTGGCCATTTGTTTTTTTCCTCTTAGGACATTGTTTTTTGAACACATAACTTAAGAGAACTGCCTAGGCCAAGTATGAATTCAAAGTAAAAAGCTGGGAGAAAAGAAAACCACCATCAGAAAAACACTTGGTAAATGTGGCATTCTTTTGAGTATATAAAAATAAAAGAAAACTCAGTTTAGAAAGATGATAAACATTACTGAAACACACACTAAGAGGTGAAGAATGATTAAATGATAGAAAAAAGTTAACTCACATTTCTCCTTCTAGAAGTTCTATTCCTTTATAACTTATATCCTCCACGTGCAGTTTGCATATAGTAGCTCTGCTAAAAACAACCACATGGAAAATTTTTGTTCCAGATAATACTGCAGGACAGGGCTTGGCAGCTACAAGTTGTAATCAGAATGCTTCAAGAGCTAATGTAACAGAGATAACAACCAAACATGCATTACAGTGCATAGTCTTAATTCTTTTTAAAAACAGGCTGGGAGAAGGTCAAAAGCTCTTAGGTTATAGTGTGCTTTATTCAGCAATGAGAACTTTCAAACTAGGGAGAACTTTGCTCCATGAATAAGTGAATTGCTTAAAAGAGAAATGATTCTTTTTTCCAGTTAGGGCATTCTTCTATTATTTAAGATGCTCAAACATACAAGCCTAGAATGAGCAAAAATTTCCAGTTACTAAAAATGACTTTCCCCAGCAATTCTACAGGCTTAAATTGTCATCTACAATTGACTGAGGCTCCTATAGCCATCCCACTGGCAACGGAAGAGCCTAGTTATTTAATAAATATGGAAATCCACAGTACAATGGGCCACTTTTTGCCAGGGGTAATATAAAAAAGAAAGAATGCTAATTTTATGGGTGTTATACCCCAAGAGGGGAGAATAAAGAGACCTGTGACTTGGTAAGTTTTCTGTGTTAGTTGGCAGACTGAGATAAAAGGAGTCACAGAAAGATCGTGACTTCAATCCAAGTTCAAATGGCAAATTCAGATGGAGCTCTAACTTGGTGGAAATTAAGCACCATGTTGATGCGAGAAATGTGAAATGAGAGAAACCCCTCTATCCACAGTGAGAGGGAGTTTCATGTGATCCGTTGGTGTTATTCTCTCCCCCCTCAACACAAGCTGGCACTCACACAGCTGGGCTAAGATGGCTTCCAAAGTCCGAAATAAGACGCTAGCCCAAGGCAGCCCTGGCCCTGCTGCTGGAACTCAGAAGCAAATGAATCAAAGGCTCTTTTATTCTCCCTCCCACCAGAACATGCTCCCTCTCTGTTGTAAACTAACTGCTTGCCAGAATGAATTACTTAGCTTAAAACAGACATAAAGAAATCTTAAACAACTCATGTCCCTTGGAATTTTAATAAGTTCAGGTGACCAAACAAGTTGTTTTGTTCATTTCTAGTTTGATGCAGAAAATTCACTTGTGCTCAGGAGCCCATGAGGAACAACAGATCTTGCAGGAACAAAAACTTCTCAGACTAGAAGATACAGCTGACAGCCACACTCCACACATGAAACTGGGGTGTTGGGAAGCAGTTTTTTTTCATGAGGACATCTAAACCTCAACACAAATGTTTGTTCTTCCTTTAAAACCAGCCCTCCCTTAAGATTTTGCTGTTGCTGCCGGCAGTACACCAGCTCTTACAAGAGCAAAGTGTAAAATTCATTTGCAGAGTCTTCCCTGGCATCTCCCACCCCTCCATCCCCTGTTGTCACTCTAAACTCTTAGGTAATAGTACTTCATTTGGCAACTAATCATATATGGCCGTATAACATATCTCCTATAAAATGATTGACAGCTTGTCTTCACAAACAGATTAGAAACTCCTTAAGGGCAGGGAGTGGGCCTTTCCTTCCCTGCATTCCACACAGGGCACATAACAAAAGCTCCTGCGATACTCGTTTATTATTCAGTCAACAGGCATCTGTTGAGCTCCTACTCTGAGCCAGGCATTGCACAGGGGCTCAAGACACAGCACCCAGCCCAGGAGCACAGCAGCCAAAGGCCCTGCACACAGGTCTGCCTTTAGTTAAAAACCAAGAGTCCCCAAAGAATACTGCTTAAGCAGTCACTAAACTATTTAAGATAAATAATAAAGATTTCCCCAAAAGGATGACGTCCCCCAAAAATTTATGTTGTAGCTTATTGAAGAGCTCCCCATTTGTCCCTTCCACCCAAGAAAATGTCTAAGAGGCATGCTAAACTGCAACAGAGCTTCTGCTGAAGATCTATAGCTCTTCCCTCACCCATTTTACAGATAAGGAAACTGAGGATCAGAATGGTCAAATGCTCCTGTGGGTGAGTAGTGGCAAAGCCAAGTAGAATTTGGGTCCTGACACTCAGTTTGAGTTTCCTTCCACTATAGCAAAACATCCCCAGTAAAAGCATCAGTGGTTGCATCAAATTACATTTTAAAACAAAATTCTTCAAAAGTAAAGTAGTAGCCCACCTACTACAATGCTCCTTCTGGCTGTCAGTATCTGTAAGAAAATTAGGAGTGCTGAGTACCTAATACATGTTTTCAATCTATCACCTCTGGCCAGGCACGGTGGCTCACACCTGTAATCCCAGCACTATGGGAGGCCGAGGCGGGCAGATCACCTGAGGTCAGGAGTTCAAGACCAGTCTGGCCAACATGGCGAAACCCCATCTCTACTAAAAATACAAAAAAAACAAAATTAGCCGGGCGTGGTGGTGGGAGCCTGTAATCCCAGCTACTTGGGAGGTTGAAGCAGGAGAATCAGTTGAATCTGGGAGACAGAGGTTGCAGTAAGCCATGAGCCAAGGTCATGCCATTGCACTCCAGGCTGGACAAGAGCGAAACTCCGTCTCAAAAAAAAAAAGAATCTATCACCTCTGAAACTTTCTCAGTCTGCAAATTATCAATAGCTTATCTGCATATTTTTATGTTAAGTCCAAAATATGGAATTTTACTTACTCTCAAAAAATGCTGTGTGTTTTACTCCTTACATTTTTAAGCAGATTATGGCAAAATACACTGAAATAACCAGTCACTTGTCAAACAGATTATCCAACTATAACTCTTGCCATCTTTTGTTCCAAGATGATCTCTTAAAAAACTAATTTTAAAGAGCCAGCAGAATTCTCTACCCTCCAAATTAATGCACCTTCCTAACAGCAATTTTGAATCTCAAAAGGTAGCAGTCAGCTTTAGAGATTCAGCAAGTTTCACATGGAGAGTTTTGCGCTTATCATTAAGCCCAGGCACAACAAATGAACTATCATTAACTATCGTAAAGGCTTAATGTAATTGCAAGTTGATGATCTCTGTTAACAGAAAAAACGTTCTTGCTACACTTTAAAAGGTAAAAACATTGGGAATCTGAATTATGTTTACTAACATGAGGATGGCAAGAACAAATTTCTTTCAACAGAATAATTATGCTTATTCAGTCACTGTAAGCAGAAACATCAGAATCCATTGATTGCTAGTGGTAATTGCCAAAAAGGTATAGGAAGAGCTTCTAGACATGACAGTCCTCTTTGTTGTAGTGACACTACAGAGCAGGGGTTTCATGCTTAGCACAGGTCCTGGGTTGTCCTTGAACCAAGGAGATGCTGACACTTGGCCTGCCCATGCCCCCCTCCTCCATGTCAGATGTCAGGTGCCCACCCAGTAGGAGAGGCTATTTCTGTTTCTAGGCCCATTTCCAGAACCAGGGGTGTGTTTTCGAAGTCCAGACAAGAGTTGTCCTGTTAATTGACAGCTGCAGAGCAGACGGAGAGCCCACGCTGGGTACAGATTACCCACCTAAGAACTGGCTGGGGCCTTGCTCCCAGGCTGACTGTGAGCTAACAGGCCACCTTGCTCTGGCCTCAGAAGCAGGTTCTCCTGCTGAGATTGTGCACCTGCCCAATGCTGACAGCTGGGCTATGGAGGAGCCCAAACTTAGCGTTCAGGCTTCAGGCAAGGAAGCTCCTCCTGTAGAGCTAGCTGTGGTAGCCAGCTGTCTTGAAACAATACTTTGTTTACAGACTTGCATCTTGTTTCAGCTGAAATTTCAGGTTCTGATGAAAATTCCACCCTTATTTCTTTAAATAATTCTTTAAAAATCTGAGCACCATTGTTGAGTGCATACTACCAAGACTTTACTTGTTTTCTGTAACCCTAGTGACAGTAATCTGTTTATGATTCCATCAGGTCCTTAACAAAGTAAAAAAGCAGCTGTTTAATATATAACACAGGATGAAAACAGCAACACCACAGTAGCAACCCTGAAAATAAGCATTAAAAATTTTCACCTACATTTTAAGTAGATTTTAAAAACTTCCGGGAGAACGAAACACATAAAAGAAGAAAGAACCCTTTTGTGAATATAGAAAAAATTAAAAAGAGAAGGAAAAGCTGGGGAATCTGCTGACTACTCTTGACTTTCATTTTCTTTTGTGTCACTCTTTAGAAAATTCAAGAAAAGCTTACACATCAGACTAACACACTAGTGTGTGAAAAATCAATCCTGCTTGAGTTGACTATGAAACAGTAAACATAAAACGGAGTTGTAAATGGAATACGTTGGGGGCCATATTTGAGATGGCTTTAAAGATAAAATTAAAACAATTTAAGGCCAGGTGTGGTGGTTCATGCCTGTAATCACAGCACTTTGGGAGGCTGAGGCGGGCGGATCACCTGAGGTCAGGAGTTTGAGACCAGCCTGGCTAGCATGGCGAAATCCCATCTCTACTAAAAATACAAACATTAGGTGGGCGTGGTGGTGCATGCCTGTAATCCCAGCTGCTGGGGAGGCTGAGGCAGGAGAACTGTTTAAATCTGGGAGGTGGAGGTTGCAGTGAGCCAAGATCGTGTCACTGCACTCCAGCCTGGGTGACAGAGCAAGACTCCATCTCAAAAAAAAAGATTAATTTAAAAAAACTAAAACAATTTTTTTGTCACTTAAAAGCCCTTATGGATCATCTTAATCAGTGTTCGGACTACCATAAATGCTGTAAACAGTGAGATAATTATCAAAGTCCCATGGGCCAAATATTCCAAACAGAATCATGATGCTCAAACTCCCTGAAGTCTCATTTAATAATTATAGTACCAAGAATTCAAGATACCTTTTCATAGCGAATCCATTCATTACAAATCATTATCCAGAAACATTTTGCCTACTGGGTGGCCAACAATGTTTTCTTTATCCAGAAAAATAAACATTCTACATGAAAAAAAACAAGCATAGGAAATGCATGTATACATGCCCATATCTTTGATGGTCAAAGCTACTTTAGCAAAAACCACCTAAACTGGACACCAATGCCAAAAGATCAATAATCTGGGAATGTCAAAATCTTCTGGGCCACCAACCTGACAGCTAAAATACAAGCCTTATTTAACCTGACAGTTAAATAAGCCTTATTTAACTCATTATACTCCATGCTGGTTTCCTCTATTCTGACAGCCACCCTGTCCACTGTCTTTCCAGACTATCTCCGTCTACTTTATTCATGGGTAAAGAAAACACCAGTGCTACACAAGGCAAAGAAAATCCTAGTTTCTCCCAAGCTGTTAGGCATATTCATCCTCCTGTGGAAAACACAATGTAGTCAGCCCACTGTATCTCTCAAATGTTCCCATAGTTTCAGTCTACACTGAACTTGTTCCTCAGAACAGCCAGAAAATATCCATACCACTCAACTTAGACACACAGTCATATACCACTTTGCATTGTTGGCTTTTTCACATACGCTTGTCTCATGGTCCTAAAGACTCAAAAAGCTACTTAAAGGCAAAGACCAGGTCTTAACGTTTCCTTAGCACTGTGCACCTGATCCATAGCCCACCTAATTCTTGTATTCTCAACTAATATTCAGAGTCAGGAAAAGTTAAAATCTGAAAGGAACTTTATTTTGTTGTTGCTGTTTTTGAGACGGAGTCTCACCCAGTCATCTAAGCTGCAGTGCAGTGGCACAAACTCTGCTCACCGCAACCTCCGCCTTCCGGATTCAAGCATTTCTCCTGCCTCAGTCTCCCCAGTAGCTGGGATTACAGGTGTACACCACCACGCCCGGCTATTTTTTGTATTTTTAGTAGAGACAGGGTTTCGCCATGTTGGCCAGGCTGGTCTTCTGACCTCAGGTGATGCACCGGCCTCGGCCTCCCAAAGTGCTGGGATTACAGGTGTGAGCCTGAAGGACCTTTAGAGATAACCCAGTCTAAGCTCCACATTTGAAATGAACGAGGTGAGAGTCATTAACCTTTTACAGTGAATCAATCAGGCAGATCTGGGTTCAAATGCAGGTCTGTTTTCTGTGAAATAGAGATGACATCTACCTCAGAAAACAGTTGTAATGATCAAATTATACTTTCCTTTTTGTTTGTTTTTCTTGTTAAGACATAATCTTTTTGGCTGATTTTTTTCCTGGTTAATAGTTCAACTGAATTCTAAGCCCAAGAGGCAGGGCTTTTCTCCTACTGTATTTTCTGACCTTATGGTTGGTGTCTAATACAGTGCCTGGCGTCTTTTGAGTTAGTCATGAATGAACCATGTGAAAGAATGAATTAAACCTATATCATCACTTTCTCATTCAGCAAATGTCTTATTCTTTAGTTCCTCCAAGAATCTGTCTTTCCTAAGTTGGGCCTTCTCAAAACAAATATATTTATCTCCCTACCCCTTCCTCCCTTCCTTCTCTCTCTCTCTGTCACACACACACACACACACACACACACACACACACACCTTTCCCTTTAGAACAGCTGGAAAAAAAAACACTGCCTCCCTCATATTTTTGGAATAAAGTTAGCATTTTTACTAGGATATTCAGGAAAACTGATAGATGGACAGGATTTAGAGGTATTACATATCTCTGGAGAGCTTTCTTATGATTTGTGGCATCGAGTCCTTCAATAAAATTACTTGTCTATAATAAATTCTGGCAGAAAATAAATCAGAAATTCACTGGTGAGTTGTCAGTGAAGTTAAATACTTCACTCTGTTCTATACAAGCAAACAGTGACTAATAGGATTAACCTGAGCTCTAATACTGGGTGTAGATATTCTTCAACGACAAACGGGTTCCATTAGTACAGGCATTAAATTTATATATTTAAGGGGGCATAAATTTTGCTTTTGCAAACACATTTTACTAGAAAAATATTTGGTCCAGGTGTCACGACAAAAGTGTGATTTCTTTCCTTTGCAGGGGGCAGCAACAAAACCACCAATGGGGAGGAAGAATAAGATCCCAGACCTCTGAAGAGGACACAGGTTTCCACTAAAGCAAGGTTGATACTTTCAAGGAATATTTTTCGTAACAGCTAAAACGGTTTAACACATAGCATCTTGTATCAACTACACAAACACCATTAAAGCCACTCTGGTTCCCTGGGAAAGGACCGCAACTGAAATCCCTTCTGGCTTCAGCAGTCCCCTCCTGCCGAGTTTGACAGCACATCCAAGGCGCCCAAACACCAGCCACTAGGCTCCCCCCAGCGCCCTCCTCTCGCAGCAAACCGCCAAGGCTCCCGGGCCAAACTCCAAAGTCCCTCAATTCAAAACCGCGAAAATGTGAACCTTGCTAAGCAAACGGCAGGGCGCGTAATAACTTTTCTTTCTTTCCCTTTTGCGCGCATTCGATATGCTTGTCTCTACTACCAACTCCTCAGGTCCACAGCCCGCTTCCCGCAACCCATCTCGAGGGGCGGAGGAGAGGGAGCGCCCATCAAAAAGAAAGGGCTAGTGAGCCCTAAAACCTCGGCGGTTTTCCCGGTGCGGGAACTTTAGCACACATCAGCCCAATAATCAGATGCAGGGATAAAGCAGGAAGAAGGCTCCTCTCTCCATCGCACCCCATCCTTCCTAAGGAAGAAGAAAAGCACGCAGCAGTTTAGCTGGAAGTCTAGGCCCTTTTATGGGGAGAGCAGGTCCGCAAAGCAGGCTGTCTGGAACCTGGAGGAAGAAAGTTGTCTGGCCAAGTGGATGACTGGGGGTGAGGGAGTGCAAGGCACCCGGTCCCGAGACCGCCAGGGGTAGGGGCCAAGAGGAAAGAGACCGGCATTCGTTTAAGAACCAACCCCGCGCTTGGCCAGCTGCAGCCACCAGCGAGCCGACTGGGAAGGGGTGTGGACGCCGAGGCCCGCGGAGTGGTGCCCACAGCTGTACTTACATAACGCTTCAACTTTTTCTCCGGGGGGGACTTGCGGAGCCATCCGGAGCAGACCACTTCACCACCGCTCATGGTGCGCGCGTCTAGGGCTCCGGGCCGGGCAGCTGAGGGGCGGCGGGCGCGCTCCCGACACAGCCGACGCCTGTCGAGCGCGCAGCGGCGAGAACCTAGCTCTCCTTGTCGCGCACCCCGGACGGACTGGGCGGACAGGCTCCACGGTGCGTGGGTTCCACGAGTTCGAGTCTCTCCTTGCAGGCCCACGAACCTGAACAGAACGCGAGCCGGGGCAGCGGGCTCGCCGGCCTCCTTTCAGTGCTCCCGCCTCGCCTCCAGACGTGCCGTCTCGCCAGCTGCCTCAGCAGCGCTCGGACTCAGCGGGACTCTGCCCCGACTCGGAGCCGGAGCCTCGGTCCCTGGCGCTCCGCCCCCTAGGGACAAGACCTCCCCAGAGCGCTTTCCGAAACAGACACAGTGCTGTTCACGCACACACACACGCACACATACACACACACACAATGCCCCGCGCGGTGCGCACTCCCGCTCGCCCGCCCGCCCTCGGTTTCGGTGCGCCCGGAGCGATCCTCCTTCCCTCTCCTCGGGGGAGGGTGGGTCACTTCGCGGCACTCGGGGAACGCCGAGGAAAGGGGAAGCCGCGAGCCGCCTACGGGCAGCGGGCGCGGGGCTGGTCCCGGGTCACAGAGGGAGCCGCAGGGTTGGCGGCGAAGCGCGGGGCGTCTCTGAGCGGCGGGCGCAGGGAGGTCGCAGGTCAAGCTGGAGGGTGGGTCCGCTCTAGCTGCCGCCGAAGAGGGCGGGGAGCGGCGGAGGAACGAGGCGCTTGGCGACTTGGCTCCTGGGAGGGATCCCGCTGTCCCGTCCTCTCGCGCTCCTCCCCCGCCGCCTCCCCCACCCCGGGGCGCGCGGCAGGTTCTGAGCGGCTCGGCCCCAGATCCCGATCCCTCCCTCTCCCGGCCTCCGGGATCCCTCTTCCTCCCTTTCCTCCTCCCCTTCCCACGTTCAGGCCCGGCTCCGGTTTCTGCCCAGACTTTCTCTGAAACTCCGCCGGAGCGCTTCCAGCCAAAACAACAAGGGCTGGGGGAGGAGACGGACGAAGGGAGAGAGCAAGGGAGGGAGGGAGCGCGAGTCCGAGAGGCACCCTGGGATCTGTAGTTCGGAAAGCAGGAGCAGGGTCCTCCGCCGTCCGGCGGCCCCCAGTCCGCTCCTCGCCCGGGAAGACCGCAGAGGCCTCGGCTAGGGCGGAGGCAATGGGGCTCGGGCACGGGGAGGACCGAGGGACGTTCGAATGTTCAGTCCGGGGCTTGCCATCTTGACTCAGCCCGGTGTCAGTTCGGAGCTTGTGCTATGCCCGAGATCAAGAGTTTCGGGGGTTTTCTTTACTTGAGAGCCTGAAAAACAAAACCGCTGGGAGACCACCATCCTGTCGGTCCCCGCCACGCGAGATTAAAGGACAGAACAAGAGGGCGCGGGAGCTACCAGCTTGGAGGGGAGGACAGATGGGAACCGTGGGCTGGCCTGGGCTGGTCTCTGGAGCTGTTCTGCCAGAGTGATGGGGGCGCTTGGCCGGGCCAAGGATTTGATTGGGTCCTATCTCTGGGACATTTTGAAGTCTCACACTCCTTCCATTTGTTGTCTATTCCACTTAACTTTGTATTTGTTTGAAATCTACTGTTGGGATGCTGGACTAAAAGAGGGAAACTCGGTCGGGCGCGGTGGCTCACGCTGTAATCCCAGCACTTTGGGAGGCCGAGGCGGGCGGATCAACTGAGGTCGGGAGTTCAAGACCAGCCTGACCAACATGGAGAAACCCTGTCTCTACTGAAAATACAAAAATTAGCCTGGCGTGGTGGCGCGCGCCCATAATCCCAGCTACTCGGGATGCTGAGGCAGGAAAATCGCTTGTACCCAGGAGGCGGAAATTGCGGTGAGCCGGGATCGCACCACTGCGCTCCAGTCTGGGTAACAAGAGCAAAACTCCGTTTAAAAAGAGAGAGAGAGAGAGAAAGAAAGAAATTTACTGGGTCCCCTAGTTCTATTTGCCTACTTGTGTGTTACACAATTATTATACCTGGTCCTGAGTTTAACATGATTCTGTAATAGAAACATCTCCAATTTATTTGTGAAAAAGCCCCAAAGCAAATTTCAGCAGATGATATAATCAGATAAAAGTGCTAAAAATATGAGGAGATAAATGAGCATTTCTGGAAAGACATAACTTCAGTCATTTTCTTATTAACACAACATTCATATTCTGAAGCTCCTCTGAGTTTGAAAATGTTAGATGATTGTAATAAGAAATTAGGTGCTGGAGTAGTGACAAGACAAAGGTCTCTGCATATATGGAGGTGGTAGCATAGGGTAGTAAGCAAATAAAGCGTCAACAAAACTACAGATTGAGACTCAGTCTCAAAAAAAATCTGAGAAAGGCTGATTCCCATTGGGGTTTAGAGACCATCTTTTGGCACGTACTTAACAGTATCACAAGGGCTGAACTTTTCAGGTCATCAAGTGAGTAGATGGATGCACTTTTCAGGTCATCAAGTGAGTAGTCGTGACCTTGGGTAAACTACACAATATCTCTGAGTCTCAGTTTCCTGATATGTGAAATGGGAATTGTAACACCGATTTTGCAGAAGTTTAATGAATAGAAATGGTAGTGTTGGCCGGCGGTGGCTCACGCCTGTAATCCTAACACTTTGGGAAGCCTAGGTGGGTGGATTGCATGAGCTCAGGAGTTTGAGACCAGCCTGGGCAACTCGGTGAAAACCTGTCTCTACTAAAATACAAAAAATTAGCCGTGGCAGCGTGCTCCTGTAGTCCCAGCTACTCGGGGGCTGAAGCAGCAGAATCGCTTGACCAGGGAGGCGGAGGTTGCAGTGAGCCGAGATCGCGCCACTGCACTTCAGCTTGGGCGACAGGGCGAGACTCTGTCTCTAAAAAAAGAAAAAAAGAAAGAAAGAAAGAAACGGTAGTGTTGGTCGGTTGGTCCGGCGCGATGGTTCGCGCTTGTATTCCCAGCACTTTGGGAGGTCTAGGTGAGCAGGTCACTAGAGTTCAGGAGTTCGAGACCCATCTTGGCCAACGTGGTGAAACCCAGTCTCTACTAAAAACACAAAAGTTAACTGGATGTGATGGCACGTGCCTGTAGTCCCAGCTACTTGGGAGGCTGAGGCAGGAAAATCGCTTGAACCCAGGACAGGGAGGTTGCAGAGAGCCGACATAGGCCACGCACTTCAACTTGGGTAACAGAGAGAGACTCTGTCTCTAAAAAACAAAAAAAAAAAAAAAAGGAAAATGGTAGTGTTGGTTGGGCGTGATGGCCTGCACTTGTAATCCCAGCACTTTAGGAGGTCTAGGTGAGCAGGTCACCTGAGGCCAGGAGGTCGAGACCATCCTGGCCAATGTGGTGAAAACCCAGTCTCTACTAAAAACACAAAAATTAGCCGGGTGTGGTGGGTGCGTGCTTGTAGTCCCAGCTACTCAGAAGGCTGAGATACAAGAATCACCTGAACCCGGGACAGGGAGGTTGCAGAGAGCCGACACAGGGCCACTGCACTCCAGCCTGGGTGACTGAGTAAGAGTCTGTCTTGAAAAAAGAAAAAAATAATAAAAAATAAAGAAAGAAAAAGGAAGTGGTAGTTTTAAATATCAGGCACATATTAGATATTGTAGGATTTTTGCTGTTTGTTGCTGTGTTTCTTAATGTTCTTTCTGAAACATAAGCAAGTGTAATTTTTATGGCAGCTAATACACCAAAGCACTTCTTTTTAAGTATGTGAACATAAATCATGCCACAAATTTTCCAAATGAAAATAAACCATCAAATTTGTTTTCCACTTCTCCCACAGGCAGTGTGTATCTACATTGAGCCAAAAGTATTTATAATTAGCATTAGTAAGACTAGTATTGTTGAATAGTTAACTATTGGCTTTAGCGAACTAACCACTTCCTACACTCGTGTTATAAAGTCCTTTGTAAATGGAAAATTGTAATATATCTTGTATTATTTAGCTTTGGGAATTTCCAATAACTTTTCCTTTATTTCAAATAAGGCATTCAGTTACCTCATTCCTATGTAAGAAATCTTTAAGTGTTTTTCCTATCTTCTACTGAGTTGTTTTAGGCTTGTATTTCTGGAAATTAAATCCAGGTTGAAAAGAGGTTGAAGATAGATATGTCTCCATGTATATATTTTAGAAATGAAATAATCATAACTAGTCTCCAACACATCTTCATTAATCAAAATAGGAATCATAACGACATATTTTTGTCAACAAGAAATAAGTTTGTTTATTCCTGTAGCATAAAAATTCGTGCTTCAGGATTTGACAAACTCTTGGAAAGCATTTTCTGTCTCCTACTGGTGTGGAAGCATTTTACCTACAAGAAGTTGTCGAGATACTTGAAGAAGCTCGCCAGTAGTCAGTTGGCGAGAGGTCAGGTAAATATGGTGGATAAGGCAAAACTTCATAGCACAATTCGTTCAACTTTTGAAGCATTGGCTGTTTGATGTAGGGTCAGGCATTGTTGTGGAGAAGAATTGGGTCCTTTCTGTTGAGCAATGTGGCTGCAGTCATTGCAGTTTTCGGTTCATCTCATCCATTTGCTGAGCATACTTCTCAGATGTAATTGTTTTGCTGGGATTCAGAAAGCTGGAGTGGACTGGCAGCAGACCACCAAACAGTATCCATGGCATTTTTTTGGTGCAAGTGTGGCTTTGGGAAGTGCTTTGGAGCTTCTTCTCCGTCCAACCACTGAGCTGGTTGTCAAATGGTTGTCGTATACAATCCACTTTTCGTCGCACATCACAATCCAATTGAGAAATGCTTCATTGTTGCATAGAATAAGAGAGGATGACACTTCAAAATGATGATATTTTTTCATTTTCAGTCATCTTATGAGGCAACCACTTATTGAGCTTTTTCACCTTTTCAATTTGCTTCAAATGCTGAACAACCACAGACGGCTCAATGTTGAGCTCTTCGGCAACTTCTTATGTAGTTGTAAGAGGATCAGCTTCGATGATTGCTCTCAATTGGTCATTGTCTACTTCCGATGGCCAGCCACTACACTCTCCACCTTCAAGGCTCTCATCTCCTTTGCAAAACTTCTTGAACCCCCACTGCACTGTACCTTCGTTAGCAGCTCCTGGGCCAAATACTTTGATGCTGCAAGTTGTCTCCACTGCTTTATGACCCGTTTTGAACTCAAATAAGAAAATCACTTAAATTTGCTTTTTGTCTGACATCATTTCCATAGTCTAAAATAAACATAAAATAAATAGCAAGTAATAAGTAATTAGCAAAAAAATAAATAAATAAATAAAGCGAGAAGTGCCCATTAAAATGATGTATAACATAGCCACATTTATTTAAGAATGTATTTCAGTATCAAATGGCAAATTCCAACAGTGCAAAAACCGCAATTACTTTTGCACTCACCTAATAATTATCTCTCAAAGGTCCCACCTACACTTTAGAATTTGAAATGTTTACACATTTAATCATTTATAAGGAAGTTGTGTTTGAATCTCAAAATGAAAATATCCTTGCAATAAGATTTATATTGGTATAATGTGAAAATGGCCCTTTGCAAAGGAACAAAATATTGCTTATTTTTAAGATATTTTTGAGGACTAAGCTCTGACTTTTTATCTTGCCCAAATTCCTACCTAAGGAGTCTACGGAGTCATGCCCTACAAACCATCAATTCTCATCAGACAGGTTTTATTTGACCCTATATATTATGACTTACTTTTCAGTTTGACTCTGGGATAACATTATGAGACAAGGAAAAAAATATTTAACCCCCAAAATTTATTTCCTTGCCATTCCTCAAAATTGCCTTGCAGAGTCTCTAGTCGGCAACATCCACATTCTACAGAGAATTCCCTTCCCTCTTTGTTTTCCTTCCTTTCTTTCCAGATCTACGAGATAATCAACTAAGAGCCAGGCACCCTTTTAGGTCCCATGAGAAACATTTTACTGCTGGGCACGGTGGCTCATGCCTGTAATCCTAGCACTTTAGGAGGCTGAGGCAGGTGGATCACAAGGTCAGGTGTTCAAGACCAGCCTGGCCAACATAGTGAAACCCCGTCTCTACTAAAAATAAAAATAAAAATAAATAGCTGATCATGGTGGCAGGCGCCTGTAATCCCAGCTATTTGGGAGGCTGAGGCAGGAGAATCACTTGAACCTGTGAGGTGGAGGTTGCAGTGAACCGAGATTGCAGTGAACCGAGATTGCGCCACTTCTCTCCAGCCCGGGGAACAGTGTGAGACTCTGTCTCAAAAAAAAAAAAAAGAAACATTTTACAACCTGATCTCTCTCTCTGAAATCTGCTATCTGAGAGATTCCTCTGCACAATAAAACTTGGCCCCCACAGTCCTTTATCTTAACCTGAACATTCCTTTCCATTAATCCCAGGTCTTCAGGTAAACTCAACCAATTGCCAACCAGAACATGCTTAAATGTATCTATAGCCTGGAAGCACCCCTTCTTAACTGCCTGGAAGCACCCCTTCTTACCTGCCCCCAGCTTTGAGTTGTCCCGCTTTTCTGAACAAAACCAATGTATTTCTTAAACATATTTGATTGATGTCTCATACCTCCCTAAAATATATAAAACCAAGCTATACCCTGACTCCCCTGGGCACATGTTCTCAGGACTCCTGTGGGCTGTGTCACGGGCCATGGTCACTCATATTTGGCTCAGAATAAATCTCTTCAAAC